CGCTATTAATGGTACGTTAGGTAAGTCATTTCTGCTACGCTGTTACGCAGTACATTTTTTATTTCATAATAAATCCCCATCTTAATATATTGTCATTTACAATTTTAAATATTTAAATAATTTTTTAAACCATATTATCACAGAAAAAAGTAACAGGTAAATAAGTTTATTACTTTGGTTTTTTTGAGTAGATGTTACCATTTTGTTGTGGGGGGCAAAACATATATTGCAATGCAATACTGTGATGAGTGAGAGATATACAAATAAATGTTCCTAAAAAAGCCTAATTTATCATATTTGATACATTTTAGCATGCTTTTTCTAAAAAAAATGATTATTTATAATGATTGTTGATCTAGTAAGTGTTCATCCTGAAATATTACTAACAATATAAAAGTTATTCTTATTTTCACAGTAAAGATCATGACATGGGGAACCATGACCTGAAGGGGACCATTTTTAGAATTATACTTTTACTTGATAAAAAGTATAAAATATCAATCAGACGACAGAAAGCATGTCTCAACAGATTTTCTGAAAAGTTTTGATCATGTTGATAGTTTAGAGGCCTTAGAAAATTGCATATCAAATGTGATGCAGTAGTAGGTTTAAGGGGATTAACTTAAACTGTATGTATATGTTAACAGTATGTTTACTTTTAAAAGTTCAAAAGATAGATCATAACACAGATGACCCATGTTTATGACAAGTTCTGTTTCAGTCGCATTTTTAAACTGCATATTTTAATTGTGCAAATTTTCTGTGATCATTGCAGGTCTGATGTCCTGAATTAACAGCAAATGTGGAGGAGCAGGTTTCTCAGGGGGGCGGGCTGTCTCTTGCAGGGGACAGGCTGTATTCCTTGTAAACCCTCTCATCTTCCTCCCTGGAGATATCTATCATTTTACCAGCCCTGCCTCAGTCCAGTCCTACAGCGTTCTTTTAGGGCACCAGCTTGGTATTGTTTTGAAAACCGATTAAGACCTGCTGTTGCTTTATATTTCTGCAGAACATTAAGAAAAGATGCTAAGTCTATCATGGATTTCCCTGCCCAGCCCCTCACAGTGACTGATATCAAGCAGTATCTTCGTTACAAAGATATCCCTTTCTACGATGGCTACAGCTGCTTACATGCTCCTAGTATTTTTATGGAACCAGCACCTGAAGGGTCTGGAAAAGAGAATTACTCACTGTTCATCGATAAAACCACCGGACAGTTTCAGTGTAAGGAGACTTTAGTGGAGGGGAGCTGGGAGGACCTCCAGGATTGCATTGAGGTGATGTTGAATGAGAATCAGACCTCCATCAGTCCTAACGTGCTGCTGGGGTTTCCTGAGAGCATGGAGGAGCAAGAAGAAAGAGAGATGGAGATGAAGGAGGTGCAAAGAATATGGAGCAGCTCTGTGCCGTTTTCCGACCTACTGGATGAGGAAGTGCAGCTCATTAAAACCATGTTTCTGATTGGTAAACTCACCAATGCCACACTGAAGAAATTTGGGGTCAGGTTCTTCAAGCCCACCAAGAGTTTGGTGTTCCCCTGGTTTAGTGGACATGACTCGGGCCTCCGGGGTGTTAAGCTGCTTTCCGCTGCTGCGAAAGGTGACGGACAGGTGGTCTACACTGAAGCTACGGTTCCAAAAATCTCCAGCTACCACAACCTCTTCGGCCTGCCTTTGATAGGACGGAAGGTCGGTGAGGTTGTGCTCACGGGACGTGAGATAGACAGCATGGCAGTGAGTCAGGCTACCGGTCTTCCGTCTTTGGCCTTGCCACGGGGTGTAAGCTGTCTGCCTCCGATCCTCCTGCCTTATCTGGAGCAATTCAAGAAAGTCACACTGTGGCTGGGGGGAGATATGCGCTCCTGGGAAGCCTCAAAAATATTCTCCAGGAAACTTGGACTGAAGCGCTGTTCTCTTATCCGGCCAGGGGACTTTCAGCCGTGCCCCAGTGAGGCACTGGCCCAGGGCAGGAATTTGGCGCGAATTGTCAAGGCTTCAATCCCTGCTGCCCACACGTCCATTGTGTCCTTCAAGCAGCTCAGGGAGGATGTGTATGGGGAACTGGCTAATGTGGAGCAGGTGGCTGGAATACAGTGGTCTCGATTCCCTGAGCTTAATCGTATCCTTAAAGGTCATCGCAAGGGGGAGCTGACCGTTTTTACAGGTATAGCCAACACAGCTATATAGAGCAGAACTTTGCGTTTTTCAAAAGTTTTCTGTACTTTACTGTACAAAAAATATATATATATATACCGTATAGCATTGTTTTTATTAATTGCATTCTGTAATATGTTAAATAAAAATATAAATCTTAAATTATAATAAAAATAATATTAAAATAGTAATAATAAAAATATTATTATATAATGTGCATAAATATTAAATAGAATAGAATAGAATAGAATATTTGTATTTCTTCTCATGGCATGTGTTTGTAAATACAGGTCCAACAGGCAGTGGAAAGACAACCTTCATCAGTGAGTTTGCCCTAGATCTGTGCATGCAGGGTGTCAACACATTATGGGGCAGCTTTGAAATCAACAATGTGCGTCTGGCCAAAATTATGCTGACCCAGTTTGCCAAGCAAAGGCTGGAGGAGAACCTGGATCAATATGACATGTGGGCTGACAAGTTTGAGGACCTGCCACTCTACTTTATGACCTTCCATGGACAGCAGAACATCAAGTAAATCATTGCCATTCCTTTTATACAATCTAATAAATTGTTTGATTCTAAATAGATACTGTATTGCAAGCATGACTCTGTGATTTTTTTTTATGTATGGCTTTCTTTTTTTTCTTTTTTTTTCTTTTTACTTTAAAAAAATATTGGAATGATTTTTTTATATTTTACTTAAGGAGAGGACCAGGTTTTTCCCACGATCTTTAAATATGAACTGCACTTTTCCACCCTGCACAGGACTGTTTTGGATACCATGCAGCATGCCGTTTACCTGTATGACATCAGTCATGTGATCATTGACAACCTGCAGTTTATGATGGGCCAAGAGAACCTGTCTGTGGACAAGTAAGGCAACAGTTTTAATATGCTATTTATTTAAAAGAGTTTCTATGGTCCTGAAAAACCTGGAGGTATTGGATATTTTCAAAACTGTGATTTCCAGGATTGGAAAAGTATAAAATTATAAAATCTTGAATAGTCATGGAAATTCTGTAGTCAATAATCATTTTTCTAGTAATTCTCAGTTATTATTGTTTGTGAGATATAGTCAGATTACTATAAAAAGATTTCTTGAAAAGTAATCTTATCTATTTATATATATATATATAGAGAGAGAGAGAGAGAGAGAGCGAGAAGTGGATAACCGAATGTTTTACAATTAAAAAATTATTATTAATATATTTTTTTCCCTCAGGTTTGCTGTACAAGACCACATCATTGGAGCCTTCAGGAAGTTTGCCACAAACAGCTGCTGTCATGTGACTTTAATTATCCACCCTCGGAAAGAAGAGGATGATAAAGAACTGCAGACAGCATCCATCTTTGGCACAGCCAAGGTTGGTAGATACAGGCTGTGTCCACGTTTATTCCTCAGCTATTAATTTGAGATACAAATTTTCTCATGTACATGCTTAGTTTCTATCTATAAGAACATCGAATGTATCTACTATAAAAAGTCTATAATGCATAATTTCCCCATATCAGGCCAGTCAGGAGGCAGATAATGTGCTCATCCTTCAGGAGAAGAAGTTGGTGACGTGTCCAGGCCGGAGGTCCCTTCAGGTGGCCAAGAACCGCTTTGATGGGGACGTGGGGATCTTTCCTTTAGAATTTAATAAAGCCTCGCTTACCTTCTCCACGCCTGTGAAGGGAAAGCAGAAGCTTCGTAAGGTGAAAGTGGACAAGAATAACAGCACAGAGGAAATAGAGGAGACAGAACTCAAAGAAAAAAGTGAGAAAGCTCCCAAGCCTGCCAAAGCCAAGACCTCAAAGACAGTTCAGGGGTCAGCAGCGTTAAAAAATACCACAGATGGAGAAGGAAATTATCAGTAGCTCAGGGAATTCATTATTTGTATGAATTCAAATAAAATGATTAAAGGGGTCATATGATGCGATTTCAATTTTTTATTCTCTTTGGAGTGTTACAAGCTCTTGGTGCATAAAGAAGATCTGTAAAGTTGCAAAGACTAAAGTCTCAAATCCAAAGAAATATTCTTTATAAAATGTAAGAGTCAACCACGCCTACCTAAAACGGCTCGTTCTAACACGCCCCCACATGTCTACGTCACGATGTGGGAAGATTTGCATAACACCGCCCAAATGTTCACGCAAAGAAAGAAAGCGTAACTTTTATTCTCGCTGTAGTATTGTTGTTGTCGCCGCCGCCATGTCGTGAAGGTGCTGTGTGTTTCGTTGTGAAAGCGAAACTACTTTGTTTGGCCTTCCAAAAGAGGACACGACTAGAAATCAGTGGTTAAGTTGTATTTACAACACTGTTCCAGAACAGTTCAACCCAAATATTCAGATGTGTGTAGCGCATTTTATGGAGGACTGTTTCCTGATCCTGGTAGAGTAGGCTACAATGCCGGCTGTCAGACTGTAAGTACGTTTTTTATATCGAAAAAATTTGCCACTGACGATTCAAACTCGAGTTTTGAGCAGTGTAGAGTAGCACTTGTTGTTTGTCATTTCTCCGATCACAAATGCAGACATGGTTTTATGTTTACGCGGCGCGATGCAATGCAACGCGTTTAATATGAAAGTCTAATACAATAAAAATAAAATTAAATATTTTATTTATAAATGTTTATGATCAAAACATCACCCTCTCTGCATGTCTTAAAACGGAGCTTTCCTAATATACTGATGCTATGCCTTAACATTTTCCTAATATACCGACGCTTTAAAATAACTTTCTTAGACCATTTACTATTTCAAACAATGTTTAAAAAAAAGAATTTATAACCACGCCTTGGCACACTGCAGCGTGATGAGAAACGTGTCATATGACTTTTTGCACCAATCAGTACTCTTGTATATGTAGGAAGTATCTGAGCCTGAATTACTGGTTTCTGTTCCTTTACATAAACTCTATGGATTAAAGCAATTTTATTCAACTTTTTTTTTAATTGACCGCTATAAATGAGTTGCTCGGTGATTTAAGCTGCATGTCTGCAGCTACTGGAAATCTGTCGAACACTTAGAATTACTTTTTTGTGAAGTAACTGCAATATTGCGACACAATGGCCTACATTTGTCCAATTAAAAATGTTGCAGATTTAGTTTCTGAAGCTCGTCGTGTGTACCGGGAAACGTTTGACGGGGACGATGCAAATGTTGCAGTTTGTGCCCCGGGACGTGTGAATTTAATCGGAGAACACACAGATTATAATGAAGGATTTGTCCTCCCAATGGTAATGTCACTTTTTTGACACTATTAAATCCCATTACGGTAAGATAAAAAAAAGTATAAATATGTTGTGAAATATGTAATATATTTTTTGTGTGTGCATATACGATTCTTTTGACGTGAAGTAGCGAACGATTCATTCGTTTGAATCGAATCTTAGAAATGAATCAGTTGAAACGATTCACAAAACCGGTCTAAACAATTTCTTCACGAATTGGATTAACTGATGCGTTCAGTTCTCGAGTCAGTAACTAATTTTTGAACCGATAATAGACGAGTATAAGGAATGTTGCTAAAACTTACAGGAACTATTTTTTACGACTTATCAACACCCGCACACAATTGAAAAAGCTGGTTTTAAAAATAGCATTTTATTGAAACATGAACATGAAACATGAAGCTTTTTTTAGTCAAGATATTGAATTATTAAGTAAATTAATTTTAGTATTCTATAGTGTAAAGGAAAATTATAATGATGTTATATTTAGGTTATGTCATAATTTTTGGAATTTGGAAGTTATTACGTCATGGCATAATATAAACTGCATTGTTATTATTTTGATCCAGTAATTTGAATCAGACTGTTCGAAAGAACCGATTCCTGTAAATGAATCAGCCTTACCTGCACTAATGCAAAGTGACCCAGTGTTACGTCAATTTTATGACTTTTCTTTGTCCATATGCAAAATACTATATCCTGTAGAGCGGATATCTGAACAATGGAAATGATGGATTGTCCTTTCACATCCTTGATGATATTTTCTACTGTAGAGAGAGATAGTAGACGTGGCCAACAGTAGTGCAAATGTGGCCAACACACGCCCATCTCTCCTTATATATAGGAATTAATGATAGGAAAAGTTTTCTTCTAAAATCAAAACACACTGCAATTATGCACTGACAATCTGTTATATTGTTTGTTTGAATGATTGCAGGCCTTGCCGATGGTGACAGTTATAGTGGGCAGCGAAATTTCTGGCCAGAAGTGCTGTGTTGTAACTCTGACTGAAGCTGCCGATGAGCCCAGGGTGGTGGACTTTGATCTCCCAAATGAACTGACCCCACTTTTAAGAGGGCAGCCAAACTGGGCCAATTATGTAAAGGGAGTTGTACAGCACTACAGAGGTAATCTTTTGCTAGCATTTTTGCCTATATGGCAAAAAAGGGAAGTAATGAGGAAGTGTACATTTAGTCTGCCTCTAGCACGAAATGGGACCCTAGGGACCCATGCTGAGAACTCGTCTTTGGACTAACTGTTTAATGCAGAGTTTCCAAAAACCATACTTGCAACACTTACAGAATAGTTGCTGAGCACATGTTCACTGTTGTCTTACTCTAAAAGTGAATATAGCTTGAATATATACTTCAAATGGAGTACATATTAATCTCATGCATTTATTAGCTTTCACAAATGGCCATGTCTTTGCACAGCACGTCCCATCCCTGGCTTCAGAGTTGTAATAGCCAGTAGTGTGCCACTAGGAGGCGGACTCTCCAGCTCCGCTTCACTGGAAGTGGCTATGTACACCTTCTTGCAGCAGTTGTGTCCAGGTAAGAACTTTGTCTGTCTGTCACGCATAACAAGTACAGAACTAAAAATCCCATTCATTTTTTTCCATATAGCATTTGCTTTACTGATAACATGTAAAGCGTTCAGGACAGAACTACAATGAGCTTTGAGGTTGTTATTTGATGGGTTATGCTTCTAATTCTACAAGCTTTACAACTTCCAAAAATTGTGTTGAATTTCCAGTAAAGAACTACACTACCCATATTGCTAGAAGTTGCTGTCACCATGGAAACCTATTATTTTTTCTTCTTCTTCTTCATTTTTTTCCCTCAATACTTTTTTTTTAAGGGTTATAACGTTGTGATTCATTTCAGAGCTGGTTGATTTGGCTCATGACTAAATATGTTCCCTACAGAGAAAATCCCTACAGAGAAAATGAATGGGAAAAGTACTTACAGAACAGCAATAAAGAGTTCTATAACTGCATAAACAAATAATCAATTGCTTACTTATTTAGTAATCTCTTAAACATATGTTGTATAATTTTTATTTTTAATGTTTACAATTATTTTTGTATTATTGCTTGGATTTTTTTTATTTTATTAAAATAAAGCAATGTCAAATAAAACATTTATTATTATAAAAAAAATATTATATACACTACTGTTCAAATATTTGAGGTCATTAAGATTTTTTCAAATAAATTAATACTTTTATTGAGCAAGGATACATTGAAACAATCGAAAGTGACCGTAAAGAGTCATAATGTTGCAAGATGTTAATTTCAAATAAATGTTGTTCTTTTGAACTTTATATTATCAAAGAATCCTCAAAAAATGTATCACCATTTCCACAAAAACATGAAGCAGCACAACTGGTTTTCATGAGTAATGATGGCTAAAATGTCAGCTTTGCCATCACAGAAATACATTTTAAAGCATATTAAAATAGAAAACAGTTATTTAAAATTGAGCAACTTTCTGTAAATTTGTAATTTCACAATATTACTGTTTCACTAAATTTTTATCAAATAAATGCAGTATTGTTGACCAAAAAAAGACTTCTTTCAAAAACATTTAAAAAATCTTACCAACATTAATCTTTTGAACAGTGCATAAAGATATGTATAGTGGTTAATAGTTTCATGGGCTTCATGTTTTCTGGCCCTCCACAGATGATGGAGATCAGGTAGCGAAGGCAGTGGCCTGTCAGCAGGCTGAACACACTCATGCTGCTGTGCCCTGTGGCATCATGGACCAGTTTGTGTCCGTTTTGGGTAAAGAGGGCCACGCTTTGCTCATTGACTGCAGGTAAATAGATTTGCCAATTCAAAATCTTCTGTCAGATTAGAAATAATCAGTCATTTCTATATGCAAATATAATATCAAAACAGCTATTAATAAAATGAAATGTAATCTCTTCAGGTCTTTGGAGGCCACTGCTGTCCCTTTGGCTGACCCTGGACTTGTAATCCTGATCACAAATTCCAACGTTAGACATTCTCTCACAGGAAGCGAGTATCCCACCAGACGAAAACAATGTGAGGAGGCAGCAGCCGTTTTGAGCAAGAAAAGTCTAAGAGAGGCTACTTTACAAGATTTAGAGGGTAAGAAGAAAAGAAAGATTTTGAACAGACACCATAACGTATGTCTTTAATCAAGGTCATTTCATAATAAAATGTTAAAATCTGAATTTAGCTGCCAAGGATCGATTGGATGGTGTGACATACCATCGCGCACGTCATGTGATCAAGGAGATTGAACGCACAGCGCAAGCTGCCGAGGCACTGAAGAGAGGGGATTACAAGGAGTTTGGGAGGCTGATGGTGGAGAGCCACAATTCTCTTAGGTAAACATCTATAATCGAAGCAAGATTATCATGTTGGAAGACTTACAGAAGTCAACTCCTTTTAAACATCCCAGGATTAGAAGTGCTTTTCAGTGACTGAAATGTTGTTTGCTTAACCCATTTATTGAATAGGTGGAGTTAACTGTCAGTTAAATGGCTTTTAATTATGCATTCTTTGACTGGGGTTAATATTGTTTGTCTTAGGGATAATTACGAGGTCAGCTGGACAATTCCATCTAAAGAAATGTCTGAATTGAGTATTCTGGGTGTTTTAGAAATATGATTATTTCTTCAGAATTTGTAACTCGGTACCTGCTCTAGTCTTTTTCCTCATATTGTCTATGAATTAAGCTAACAAGTATTAAACAGGAATTCAGGCCAAGATAATAATACTTTTCTGTTTCCCTACAGGAGAAATATCATGGATCTCCAACTTTCTTCATAACTACCCCATCAGAAGGAGCTCATGCTTTCAGTCTATGATTATAAACCAGTGCTAAACCAGTGACGGGAGTCGGATGACAGGGGGAGGGTTCGGTGGATGCACGGTTACTTTGCTTCAGGCTCATGCCACGGAGAGAGCAGTCAAACACATTCAGGTTTTTACAAGTTTAAGATGCTCTGTGTATACACTCTAAAAAATGCTGGGTTGTTTCAACCCAACGTTGGGTCAAATATGGACTAACCCAGCTGTTGGTATATATATACTGTATATATATATATATATACAGTATATATATATATATACTGTGTATATATAGCCTATATAACATTTTCAATAAAGAGGATTTATGTAGGCTAATAAAGGAGTTTTTGCTTTTATTGACTTAATTGATAGTGATGATGTTTATATACAATAAGCATAAGTATAGCATACACATAGCAAGTACATAAATGTGTGTGTACTTAATATAAAAATGTGAACATGGAGAGTGTTTTATAATTACATTCAGTGTTCAGTAAGCATAAGTTTAGCTTAAGTTTAGCAAGTATATATAAATAAGTGTGTGTACTTAATATAAACAATGAAATTTCCAAAATAAAAATATTGAAATTTCAAAATGTTTTGCATTGTAAAGATGAAGAATGTATTATAACATTAATAATTTTTAATTATTTTATTTAAGCTTTTTTTGTAATTCCCTTTATTCTCAGTGGTGACTTGTTTATTTACATATTTTTAAGGCAGTATATATGTAATTCTACTCAGATGTTTCAACATAATAATAATTATAAATGTTTTTTGAGCATCAAATCAGAATATTAGAATGACTTTTGAAGGATCATGTGACTGGAATAATGATGCTAAAAATTCAGCTTTGAAATCACAGGAATAAATTACATTTTAAAATATATTCAAATAGAAAACATTTATTTTAAATAGTAAAAATATTTCAAAATTTTACTGTTTTTGCTGTACTTTGGATCAAATAAATGCAGGCTTGGCGAGCAGAAGAGACGTCTTTAAAAAGCATTCAAAATTGAACTGTTCAAAAACTTTTGACTGGTAGTGTATATATATAACAACACTTGATATAACATATATAATGTGTGTGTGGAGCTCAAGTGTTAAAATACGCTCAATCTGCATTTTCTAATGTTTGTTCAGTGGACCGTGCTCTAATGAGTTCAGTAGTGTGAGCGCCCCCTGCTGGCCGCACTATGAACTGTCCCGGAAGGCGTTTGCTCAGGGAGGAGCCAGAGCGCAAATCGGCAGCAAGCGCAGCAGGAAACACTTCACTGATAATCCTCAAACACTGTCCATACACAGACCTCGAAGCCGAGGGAAACACAATTCGAGCCTGCTCTTCTTCACCGCCCGGTGTGGTTTTCCTCTTCACCTCAGGATAATTGAGCAAACCCGCTTGAATCGTGGACAGTGCCGGGACATCGGGCCGCGGTGAATCAGGTGAGTCCTGCCCGGGCCCGTCGACTGCTGCCCGGCCACAGGTGTTTCCACTCACCGGCTCTGTGGATGTGTCTCAAAACGTACTGAGCTGTCTAGATAGCGAGCAAACGAATATTCATATAATACCTACAAATGCTGTCTAGCTAGGAAGCTCACTTAGCGTTGAGGCACAGCCAGTGAATTCTAACTTACAGCTCTGTATGAACTTAACATATGTTTTTGTAATGGGGTGCATACTGTCTGTTTGCAGATTAATCTGTTGTTTAATCTCTTCTTTTGCATTCTGAGTGTTGTCCAGCTAACTAATGAATAACGTTCAGTCTAAAACGAAACTAACACCTAGTCCTGACCTTGTTCTCCACAGTTGCCCGCACTATCATTAAACTACACCTTTCTGAATGAGAGAACAGAGAACGTATTGTTGGTTACTTCGATCGGCGACTGTAAAGCAGATATCTGTCCCCTACTGTGAACATATACTGTCTCATACTGGTACTTTCAGTTTGCTCAAGTGTTTCAATGGCATTAAACTTATTTATTTTGTTAGTTGCACCAAAAAAGGTGTTCCACTTTGTCCACATAGAGACTCAGATGTCAAATTGAATCTAAGTATGCTAGATATGTATGTGTGTGTGTGTGTGTGTAGTAGATATCAACCGATATTGCTTTTCTTTTTGGCTGATACAAATCTGATAACTGATTTAACAAACCAATTTAAAATCATAAATCATTTTTTAATTCGTTTTTGACACAAGAACTAATCTATATATAAACACACACAAACACATACACAAAGTTTATAAATGCTCCAAAAAATCATTTTATGATCTCTGCCTGGGGCTGTCCAATTGTTAAACTAAGTTACTTGACCTATAAATATCATTGAGACCTGCCAAATGGTTCTATTATCAGTAGTTCGGACCATAAAGAACCAGTTAAGTTAAAAGTTGTGGATATTTGCGAGAATACATGATTACTGTTTTTTTTTATTTCAGATCAGAGACTATAGTGTTGCTCCTGGCTTCGAGTGTAAAGTTAAAGTGCTTTGGTAAGGACTGGGGAATTGGTTGTCCTTGGCATAGATTGGTGAATGGCTGTCCCACCGGTCTGACAGGTTGAGAATCGAGAATGATAAAGCCTCCGCCTTTTAGACTCTCATGTTGCTTCACACTTAGCCAATAGCCATGTTCATTATGTTATGATTCTCTGGTTTGTAAAGCGACTAAATTTGAGTCATTAGCCTTCATAGTTAATTTGTGGATTAAATGTGTTGTTGCAGACTTCTGTTTACAATAAAGTGTAATTAATCTTGGGTCATTTCATTCAGAAGTCCCCTGTAATGTATGGCCGGATTGAGCTTTGCCCCTGTGGAGAGCCAATGCAAAGTACTTGTACAGTGTGATCTCAGATAACACATTTAAAATTGTGTTAATGTACGTGACAAACTAGCCTTCGTTTCAAATCCGTCATGCTTGTTTACACAAGGATTGACCTGAAATACATGTCAGAGAAGGATGTTTTTGTGAAACACAATGCCCAAAAAAACCCCACATTTTAATCTACCAGGATGTCTTCAAATTGTTGCCAAAAAAAGTCAGGTATGCATACACTACCATTCAAAAGTATGGGGTCAGTATGATTTTTTTTATTCAAAAATGTATTGAGTAAGGATGCATTAAGGAGCCAGGATGCATCCATTACAGGAATACATGACTTTTTAAAACTTTTTAATCATTTTAAATTGAAATCATTTCACAATATTACAGTTTTCATCAAATAAATGGTGCCTTGATGAGCATAGGAGGCTTCATTCAAAAACAAAAAATTTACCGTCCCTGAATTTTTGAACATTAGTTTATGAATTGCCTTGTTTGACACCTGTTTGCTTCAAAGGTAATGCAGCTAGGTTGCCCTATTGAGGCTACGGTTTTATAAGAACACTAATGTTCTTGCTGGTTCGCATGTCTATCATTTCATATTTTTTTCGTCTCTGAGGTCCAGGGAAGTTGAACTTGTTGCCATCAGTTAATGAAGAGCTGCAGATAGACGATGACTGTTTACAGAAGACGTTTGTAGGTGTGGTGGCACTCCGTCTCAGTATTTACCTTTTATTAGATGTCCCGTATCAACTGCAGCTAGTTAGTTACCATTCTGATGTGTCAGTTTGAGACGTTTGGGTGTAAATGTGGTTTTTATGCCTCACTTCATGGCCCTTCTCAGAGAAGACAGGAAAGGCTTGAGTCTGGGGACTGACATCCTGTGGTGGGACACACCCCACAGCCATAGACAAGATCTTATTTTTACATTTTCACAGAGAGGAAGAGAAGGTAAACAAAGGCTTCTCACTTCCACAGCAACAAACGGTTAGCCTGGGTGATAGCATGTAGGGAGAGATCAGCTTTACAATGACCAGTAAGAATGAGAGGAAGTTCATCCAACACTTCCTCATCCTCTCCAGCTGTTCTTTTTTTAAGCACTATGAACTTTTGTCTGCTGGTTGTCTGACTGGGATGGACAGTTTTGTTCAAACAAAACGGCTAACGTTTATGATCATACCGCAGGTCATAAGTTACTCATTATGGACTTTGTTATAATAAGTAGCTGCGATATCTTTTATGACAGTATTGATTTAATCAGAATACACAGGCCTGTCGGTCCAGAGCTGTGTACTATGCATGGCATTTGTCGATGATATTTGTTATGCCTTAGGCCTATGGTTTTTTTTATGTGGTGGGGGGGGGTTCTGTTATGTTTTGGTTTTTAATGTTGGCGTCATTTTTGTACAGGTATTCTGCTGCATAAAATTCAGCTATAATTGCAAATAAATGTAAAAACTAACAAAATACTTTAGTTTTAAATATTGTTAATAAAGCCGAAATATATTTTTGACAATACTATTGAAAATTTTGTGGTCCATAACATAAAAAAAAAAAAAAAAAAATTATTATTTTGTTTAGAAATTGCACGTTACATTTGAACAAAAGTGACAGTAAAGTAATTCATAATGTTAAAAAAAAAAATGTTTCAATGTTTTTTCTTTTAATAAACTTCCTTTTCATTAAAATCCCCCCCGCAAAATATTAAACTCTATTCAACATTGATAATACTACGAAATATTTCTTAAGCACAAAACATCATATTAGAATGATTTCTGAAGGATCGTGTGACCCTGAAGACTGGAGTAATGATGCTGAAAATCCATATTTGCTATCAAAGCGATAAATTACATTTTAAAATATATTAAAATAAAAAGCAAGTATTTTAATTTGTAATAGTATTTTTACAATATTACTGTTTTTACTGTATTTTGATCAAATAAATGCAGCCTTGGTGAAAAAAAGAGACTTACTTCAAAAAATCCTAACAACCCAATCTTTTGAACAGTAATGTACATGTTTCCAAATGTAAAATGTGTTTTAAATAAAATGGAAAAGTGCATATTTGAACTACTGCAGAACAATTCTTATTGTTTAGCCCTGATTCATGAGTGTCAATGTTTATTTAAAAGAAAGAACCCGCTGACTTGTGGTATCCTAAAATAAAGATCTTTCCAATACTATACTCTCTCTATCCGTTTAGTCATCTCGTGGCGGTTGAACTGGTTTTCCTTGTGTTTGCATGGTGTTTTCTCACTTATTCAGGGTGTAGCTGATGATTACTTCAGAGCTTGACCTATTTGTACTTGACTGCCTTTCTCTTGACCTCAAATATCATTTAGTTGATTCTTTAGTGCCCTTTTACCCATATTGAGTCTAAAAATGGAATATGCAATTCCTCGATTTCCCAGAATGATCGGCATGACATATTTAATGTGCTGTATGAAACCAGGTTATGCAGCTGAGGGACAACGTCTGTGGTGAGAGTACACTGACAGTTCCACACTCATGTCAGGGCAGGTTCTCCACTCTTGCCTTCTCCTCTGATCTTTGTTTCCTGTGGGATGCTATGCTGAGAATGTAGTGATGTCACTAGTGATACGTTAACAGGGACAGTTTGCTGTCAAACTGACTGTTTAGATGAATTTGATGAAGTATTTCAGGTATGAAAGACAGAAAGCAGGTTAAAATTGCAATTTTTATTGATTTGTTGTTCTTGCTGAGGCAGCACAATTAGTATTGTTCATAGTTTGCAATCAGAATTTTTACCTGCAAATGATAATACAGGTGAAAAATCCCTTTATATTTATATTATTTGTGTGTATAATATATATATATATATATATATATAAATACGCTCGCATGGCTGCATTTATTTGATCACAAATACAATAAAAACAGTAATATAGTGTGTGTAAAATATTATCACAAAATAAAGTAATAGTTTTTTATTCCTGTGATGGAAAAAGCTGTTATTTATTACTCGAGTCACATGATCCTTTAGAAATTATTCTAATAATAGGAAACATTTTGTTTTGTCATCACAGTTGTGCTGCTTAAAGTTTTTTCTTTTTCAGTTGTGCTGCATTTTTTTTCCAGGATTCTTTGATACAATAGAAAATTCAAAAGAACATTTGTTTTATAATTTAAAAGTCTTTACTGTCAATTTTGATCAATTTGATGCATGCTTGCTGAATAAAATAAAATATCTTAACTTTTTTTTGTCCTCGCTTGTCTGAATATTCATTTTTTAAAGCTGTTTTCATTTCGGTTTCAATGTCTTTGAGTTTAGGTTTTAGCTGCAGGTCTGTTGTTGTGAGCTCTTGTCCTTTTATTGTTCTTTAACAGAGGCATCAGTGTGATGGAGTGAAATCATGGAGAAGAGGAACCTGCTCTGCTGAAACTGGCCATCAGAAACTGAAGCTTTAACACCTGAATTGTTGCTTCTCTTTTTAGAGATTGCTTTGTGCAACCAGTAATAGAAGTAGGCTACAGGAGTAGCACATGTAGTTTTCTCCCGTAATAACAGTCGTCGAGTTGGGTGGGACGTTTTGGTTCTGGCAGCGTGGCTCAGTTTGTGTTGTGCTGTGTCATGAAATGGGAGAGTGTCGTTGGTCTCGAATTTACTGTGGGCTTGCACAGGCTGTTTTTAAAAAAACAGTTGACCTCTCCTGACCATTGGGTGCTATTTTTTGGCTGCTGTCCTGAGGGTATGAGGCCGAGTCCTGGCTAGTAACACTTCCAACGAGTTAGTCGTCAAACATGTTGACGTGTTTGCGTAATGTGATGTCACCCCTCACCATGACCTTAAACAGAGGAATCTCTAAGCATCGATTCTTCAGCAGTATCACTGTTTACTGCAGGGCTTTCAGAACTGGTTCTCTAAAAAAAAAAAAACTTTTGTAAATTAGCTTTCTGACAACCATACAAGGACCTAAATTTAGTAAAAAATGTTGTTCCTTGTATGGTGTGGATATTCAAATAAACCCCAAACTCATCATATATAGGACTGAGTATAACTTGTCCCACACTTTTTGCGCTTTTCTATTACTCAACTTTAGAAAAGCACAAAAAAACCTTTCCTTTCTACTCAATTTTAATTATTATTTTCACCTGACGGATGATGAAACTGGTCCTTAAAATCTCTTGCACCTGCTATTGGTGAGATCTTCCTTAAATTGGGATGTATTAGGATGTAGTAACTATTACCTTTCTATCAAATAATATAAAGTTTCAATTTCTAATTATTTTGATATAAATAATATAATACAAATTCTACAATTATTTTAATAATATTAACAACAAAATAATAATAATTATTATTATTATTATTATTAGTGTTATTTCATTTGTTGTTGTTGTGGTTTTGGTTGTTGTTGTTGTTATTTGTTGTTGTTGTTGTTGTTTAGTGAGAGACAATAAATAAAATACTAATACATAACATGGCAATATTTCAATGTGCTGCCCCGAAGACCTTGTGGCTTAGACCAAACTGAAAGGAACATTTATTTGTTTTAATATGTATTTTTCACATTGAAACCTGGCATATAGCTCAAAGGACAGCATATTGGAAAGTGTGACGTTTCAAAAATGTAAAATCTAAAAATCGTTATGTAAAAAAAAAAAAAACTAGAATTTGTTTTAAAATCATGTAATTCTGCCATAGTTACAGTAGGCAATTCTTTCTATGCTTCAGACTAGGGATGTAACGATTAACCGCGAGCCGGTTGAAAATCGATTCAAATATGTGACGATTCAAATCGGTTGACATGCTAAACAAATCGCGATTCAGTTAGGGGTAGGAGTTTATATGAATGTATGACTGTCATGAATCGAATCGTGAAATCAAAATCGCGAATCGAATCGTGAGTTAAGTGAATCGTTACATCCCTACTTCAGACTGATGTTTTCATGTTTTAGAGCTGCAGCTTAATCAATACTTCCTCTGCTAATGTACCATGTCATTTTATATTCCACTGCCATGAATCTGTCGTCTGTATGGTTGAGCTGATTACGCCAAGCATTTCTTTGGTGGTATCTTAGTTCCAGATACCATTTCTCCTCAAAGTCTATGAATTCTTCACACAGGCCTCCTACCTCTAATTTAGACGAGCTAGAGCCGCTACTCCCACATCAATGCCCTCACATGCACCTCCGCCATAATTCCTCCCAGCAGGATTCAAAACAAACTGCAGCTTGTTTTTTCTACCTCTAATTAACTTGGGATTAGATGGATGGAGCTATAATATTTATCTCTGAGAAGCAAAATTGTCTGAAACTGCTTCACGAAAGGGTCCCAATGATCAATATGGTGTTCAGAGATTGTTTTGTACTTTCTGGCCTCTTAAGTTGTGAATGAATTGCGTCTTTTCTCCCGCCTTCACTCCATTCCAGCTCTCCTGCTGTGAGTTTTCCCTCATAAAGCCAAGCTCACTCTTAAGTAGAAGACCTCCCACTTTACCATTGTCCCTTAAGCTAAGCTTTACAGAGACTCTCTCTTTTTTGTTTAGTTTGTTGGCTGGTTTCTTCAGGGTCCTGTAATCCTTGGATTTCTGGTCCTAAAAATAAGGAAATAAGAGCTCTTTTCCTTCTCTGGAAGTGTTTGTAGCCACATGCTTGATGACTAAATGTTCTTGGCTAATAATGGCGATAATCACAAAAATATGTGTCTGAGCCGAGTGGGGCAACTGACTCACTGGGAAGGTTATGCTTGGAAAAGACTGATTGGGCCTGGGAAAAAGGTCCCTTTTCCTGTTGATATGCTGATGTGATCAGCCTGGAGAAAGTGCGATTTAAATTATGAGAGCATTCTTGTCTAGACACGCTCTCAGGGGAGTTCTTGTGTGATGTGAAGTTAATGTTACCTGGATATGTCACTCTGAATGCAGTTCTTATTGTCCATAATCAATGTCGAAGACTCTGACTCAATGTTTGTTTTTTTCTTGTTTTCCTTGGCTGCATCCTGGTAGTCTCACTTTTTTCCTGCAGAATTTTTCTTAGCCTGCTGATGCTGTATGTATGTGCGTGTTTTATGTATACTCACATTTGCATATAGAACGTTAGGACTACTTCCCCTTATTAACATGTACCATGGTAACCATAATTTGTGTAGTTTTATGGGTATTGTACAGGCAGACTACAGTTCAGTGTTTTGGAGTTAGGATTTGTTTTTGTTTTGTTTTTTGCATATGTTTGATCAAAAGTACTGCCAAAACCGTAATATTGTGAAATGTCTTTACAATTTAAAATAACTGTTAATGTAATTCATTCTTCTGGTGACAAAGCTGAATTATCAGATGATTTGGTGCTCAAGAAACATTTATTATCAAATTTAAAAACAGTTTAATATATTTGTGGAAACCATTTTTTTTTAGGTTTCTTTGATGAATAGAAAAGGCATTTATAAAAAAACATTATGAATATCTTTCAGTATCACTTTTGAATAAAAGTATGCATTTTTTAAAATAAAATAAAATACAGACCCCAGAGTTTTGAATAGTAGTGTATTGTGCCATAAAACTTTATATTTACCAATAATTGAACCTAATCTAACCTAAAAAGTCTTTTGGACTTGGACTTTTTTACCCATTTTATTGTCTCACAACACTCTTTATCAACAAGCTACATGATTTGAGGTATGAATAATTTCTGTAGCAAAAACGATGTGGGCCAAGTTATGTGCTGACGTTTAATACTTCAGTTTCAGGTTAGGGTTAGTTTTGAACAAACATGAGTTATAATAATTATGATGCTTGCATTGGTTGCCGTAGCAAAATTGTTTTTAAGGAGCAAAATAGCCAATGGCAACTTTGTTTCCACCCACAACAAATGCAAACTGTTTCAAGCTTCAGGTGAGAGAAACTGCCGTCCATTCACAGGTTATTCTGTATTGTTATACTTTGAGTGGTCTCTTTAATAAGAAGTCGGTAGCACCCCTCCTTTCTCTGTCCATTTGAAAGAGGCTCTTTCTGATTCGGCTTCCCCAGAGAAACAGGTGTTTTCATCAGGTGCTGTTTGCTCAGATGACGGGAGGGACTGTAATAGCATTCGGCTCTGAACAAAAGCTGCTTCAGTCAGGACTGCAGAGATCTGCGATCTCCCTGCGGGGGCTGGGCAGAGAGAGCGAAAGAGAGGAATCGGGGTGGTGAGGGGGGTGTAGTTTCAGTCAGACAGTCCACAACTCCTTCCTTGGAATTCCTGATCTTATCAGATCCATTGTGTTTTTTTAGTTTTTTGTGGAATACACACACAACCCTTTGCAAAGTCAGTTTGAGTTGTGCACCCTTTATAGTGCTTCAACTTGTGCCTTTTTAAAGGCATAGTTCACCCAAAAATAAAATGGTCACCCTCATGTGATTCCTAACCTGACTGAATTTGTTGCATGAAACACAAAACAAGATGGATAATGCTCTTTTCCATACAATGAAAATGAATGGTGACCATGGCTGTAAAGAGCAGTAAACTATGGAAGAACTGTGACTTTAAGTCTTGATTATTCCTTTTTGTTGTCATCGCTATTCATTAGTGTAATGTATTTACATTTAATAGTTTTATTTTTGTCTGAAAAACCACTGATTATTAACCCTGTACCCCTCGTCTCTTGTCAGGTGGCTGAGGCGAAACCGTGAGAGAGGGCAGCACGAGGTCCCTGCTCGTCCAGGGACGATGAAGAGGTTCAGGCGTCATGGGCATGAGTCTCAAAGGGACAAGCACAAACAGGATCTCTATCAGTTCAACAAGGTGATCAAGCCCACATCTTCTGTAGGATTTTTGTTTTGCTGTTACACATACACAAGACTGGTTTTGTGCTATTTTAAAGGAGCTCTCTTGCTGACTGTTTTTGATTTAAAATCACTAAATGCCAAAAAAAGATCATACATTTGTTTAATGTATTTAATGTATATTTTTGTCAACATTTCTATTACTTTCCGTGCCATTTTGATAGGACTGGACAATTTGGTAAAAACATTTAAGATTTCAGTATTACCATTGTAATATTTCACTGTAAAATAAAAAGAGTATTTAGGAAAATAGTATTAACAATTGTAAATTATAGTACAACTGGAAAATTAAAATACATATATTTATGGCTGTCTTTATTTCTTCATTTTCAAATGTTTAACCTTTAAGCTTTCATATTGGCAGAAAACGGCAAGAAATGCCTTAAAGCTTCTCTTTTGTTGACAACAGCTAGTTTATAAGTGCTTCTTGTTACAAGTTTGTGAAGGTGGTTGGTGCAAGTTGCGTTCCCAAATGCATGTTATAAGTGACCCAAACTCAGAGCAGAGTTCGTGTGGAGCAGCATTTACTAAACGGAGATGCTCAGAGAAACTGAAAACACTGGATCATGAGCTGCTTGCATATAAAAGAACACGGTGCCGCGGTTCACTCTGAAACATGCAGTGCATGCATTTATTTTAATAATTAAATCCCAGCCTTTCTGATTTGATAATTGCACTAAAGCTTAATGCAATTTTGGTGTGAATTTTTGGTTAATCAATAATCATGCAGCCCTACAATTTGCATAGATTTTCTTCTCCCCGAGCTCTTTGCAATATAATATAGGATTGCCTTCCCTGTGAAGCATGCATGCAATCATGCTGCCTTATAATTTGCCCAAAATGAGGCATCTTTAAAAGCATCATAATTGTATATGTTCCATTTTGGAACAGACTTTGAAACAGTAGGACCATGATATCTTTAAAATGTGAACTGCACATGTAATCAGCGTATACCAGAGCCATTGTATATAATGTAGCATTTCTCACTCTCATTTCTCCCCTCTCTGCTTTAGACTGTAGAACATGGCTTCCCCCATCAGCCCAGCGCTCTGGGTTTCAGCCCCAGCCTGGAGCTCCTGGCCATCGGTACCAGATCAGGAGCAATCAAACTGTATCCTTCAACAACCAGAAGACATTTCCACACTTTGGGTTATTTGATCTGTGTATAACGTAACTCTTGAGTAGAATTCTCACATTCCATTCCCCTGTCTCTGAATCCTGAGGGCATAGTGACTACAATGTGATATGATGATAATGTACTGAGATTTCCTGTAGCTCATCTCGTGGTTGTTCTAGTGGCTCAATGGTACACACCCATCATTCAGGTACTTTGAAAGGCGGAACAGTTTATATTAGTGCGTAGTGCTGAGAACGCATGCCCATATAACATTTTTTCCGATACTATTGCGTAATTTTCTCTGTTAGTCATTTACAGAAGAGGAAATAGAAATGAATAACTGGTATGTGGCTAACATTATGTGTCTGGTATTTAATAGTTATTTGCAATTCAATATATTTTTGAAATTGAAGGTTTTATTTCAAACTTTCCACAAAAACAAGGTGCTGTGTGAATGGTTGCCATGTGTTTCCTTAACCAGTTCACAGGTATGGAGCTCCAGGTGTGGAGTTCATGGGACTTCACGACGAGAATGCAGCAGTTACACAGGTGCACTTCCTGCCAAACCAGGTACAGCTTTAAACTTCAATTCTGACATCTTTTGATTTCATCTGTTTTTTTTGTTTGTTTTTTTTGGCATGTTAATTTCCATTTAATTCAATCTTTGGGCTTCGGGTTTCAGTGAATCATCAGTGGTTTTGGGTGAGGTTGTTAAAAAATGTTATTACAAAAACTTACAACACAAAGCAACCTTTTAATGATATGCATAGATTAAAATTAGGGGGGTGTATCAGAAAAATATTATACAATGGAGTTTATTTTATATCACATTAGCTGTATATTTATCATTTCAACAAGAAATGATGTGTATATATATATATATATATATATATATAATTTGTTTTTTTTTTAATTTGTGTGTATTTATTTATTTATTGCAGGTGGAGTTGGTAACATTACTGGATGACAACAGTCTGCACATGTGGACGCTTCGGGCCCATACCGGCATGTCCGAGTTGCTTGAGATAGGACGTTTCACTCTCTCTGGTCCACCTGGGTGAGTCAGGAACACACACCTACAGACTCACCTCAGTCTAATATTATCATGCTTGAAGATGTTTTTAACCTGCTGGGATGCTCATGCACTCACACCCAGCGAATGAGACATGAGCACTGACTCACACTGACCCAGACGTGACTGACTCACTTGTGCTATGAATCCATACATAGATGTACACATGCAGTCACCTGACTTCCATGATTCAATGTAGCATTTTTTGCAGCCTATGATGTCATATTCTCTCCTCCCATGAATGGTTATTATTTCTAATACTTCTGTTATTATCCAGCAACAAGTGACAGGGTATTTTGATCTCTTAAAGGGATACTCCACCCCAAAATGAAAATTTTGTCATTAATCACTTTACCCCCATGTCGTTCCAAACCCGTAAAAGCTTCGTTCATCTTCGGAACACAATTTAAGATATTTTGGATGAAAACCGGGAGGCTTGTGACTGTCCCATAGACTGCCAAGTAAAATACACTGTCAAGGTCCAGAAAAGCATGAAAAGCATCGTCAGAATAGTCCATCTGCCATCAGTGGTTCAACCGTAACGTATGAAGCGATGAGAATACTTTTTGTACACGAAGAAAACTAAAATAACGACTTTATTCAACAATTCCTCTCCTCTGTGTCTCTCCACATCACCTTAGCGCCATTTTGGAGAATATGAGCTGAACGCAAACTGCGTACGCTATACTGTGTCAGCCGCACCACAAAGATACGTTTTCTGCGTGTTTTTTACGCTTTGATTTGAAAGAAAGCAGCGCAGCTGACACAGAAGAGCGTACGCAGTTTGCGTTCAGCAGATATTCTACAAAATGGCGCTAAGGTGATGTGGAGAGACACAGAGGAGAGGAATTGTTGAATAAAGTCGTTACATCCAAAATCGCATACACTCTGAGAATGTACTTCTAGTATGAATGTAATCCAGGTGTACTACATTCATCATGTTGTCATTGTCATGTGACCTACCAGCGTCAATTGCATGGCTTCACTGCCATTCATAAATCCTATACTGTGAATTCTGTGAATACTGTGAATTCGTACATACCGTTTTTTTTGCCCACTATATAGTATGGAAGTATGCAATTTCAGATGCAGTCTTGGATTTTATTTCTGTTTTGTCATGCTGGGTAGCCCTGCCCTCAAAGAAATCTCATTGGTCTAATCACCCACTTCACATAGCAGCATATTAAACATCAAGATATGTTCTGGTGGCGCCACATTTGTATGAAATTTGTAATCATAATTATTATACATTATATTGTCTTGTATTTATGCCTAAAAAGGAATTATAATTAAATATTGTAAGAGATTCAAATATTTATATTTATAAAACATGAAACAGAATATTTTAATTATAAGATAGTATAATTAAAATATTCTGTTTCATGTTTTAGTGTGTATTGGTATTGTAAATGTATTGTAATTGGTTGATTATTGATAAAAATACATAGAAAAAAAGATTATAAAAATACTTTATATGCCTTATAAAGGCATGGGTAAAAACTTTAATAATGCATTATATCAAAAAAGTAAAAAAAACAATGTAGATAACCTAAAAATAAGCCAGCATACAGTTTTCATCCAGTGTCTAATATGTGTAACTGGGGTAGTAATAAAAAAAAAATCACTAGCATGATTTTGACCCGTTTATGATGTGAAACATTGACAGTGCCCCTCCCAGTGTGACGCGGGTCACGGCGGTTCTGGCACACTCATCGGGTGAGCTGCTGCTGCTGGGCACAGAGGGAGGACACGTGTTTGTTGTGGAAGTGCCAGGCTTCAGACAGCTGGAGGAGAACAACATCAGCGTGGAGGATGTACAGAACAGGTCAGACAATCATGTTGATCTGAATTATGAATTCATGCCCAAAACACCTTTTACAAAATCTAGCAAAATACAAGGTTTGGTCACTTTACATATGAACACTATTTAAAGCCAAGAACTTAAAATTAACATATTTAATAGACTTTAAAATTAATAGAATTAATTTTGTCTATATACGTACATTCTTTAAATAGTTTCAGTGGAATTGTATTGTGCAAGAGTTTCGCATGCCTGAGACGAATGTTACAGTTACGCTTTGTGATCGCTGATCTGTTCACCGCTACTTTTTCCAGAATTCCAGAGGATTATGTTGGCCGCAGGAATCTGGAGTGTGTGGAGACTCTGCATGAGAACCCGCTCAACCCACGGCAGGTGCTAATCGGCTACAGCCGAGGCCTGATGGTACTGTGGGATCTGGACCGGCAGCGTCCCATCCAACACTTCCTAGGCACACAGGTACCATATACTTGCAGTGTTATCGCTTCTTTATTCAATTCAGTTCAATTCAATTCAAGTTTATCTGTATAGCGCTTTTCACGATATAATTGTTGCAAAGAAGCTTTACAGAAAATTAAGTTTCTACAATATATTTAGTAGTAGCTTACCAGTGCATTAATGTCATTTAATGTACGTATGGCAGAAATGTACAGAAAAATCAATTAAAGACGTGATTAAACAGACGATGAACACTATTAACAGCAATTATTATATGTTGGAATCAAACTTATAGCAAAATGTGGTAGTTCTGTATGTTGTATCAGGGTTGGCATCATCTGAGGTGCTCTGAGGGGTTGGCATCATCTCTTCTCAGGTGTTCTGGATCCAGACTGAAGCTTGTGTAAATCCTAGTTACCACGGGATGTCAATCCCGTGGCAAAAACAGAGAAACAAATAGGGACATAATTAGCGTAGCTGCTGTTCCAACCAAGCAAAATTGATTTGTTTAACCCAAACTAAAGAATAATAATGTGCATTTGATCAGATATAACTGCAGTACAAGATTATGATATGCATTATTTGAATGCTTGGCCAAAGAGATGTGTCTTTAATCTAGATTTAAACAGAGAGAGTGTGTCTGAACCCCGAACATTATCAGGAAGGCTATTGCAGAGTTTGGGAGCCAAATGCGAAAAAGCTCTACCTTCTTTAGTGGACTTTGCTATCCTAGGTACTACCAAAAGTCCAGAGTTTTGCGACCTTAGGGAGCGTGATGGATTGTAGCGTGGTAGAAGACTATTTAGGTACGCAGGAGCTAACCCATTAAGGTCCTTATAGGCAAGTAATAATATTTTGTCACTGATACGGAACTTAATAGGTAGCCAGTGCAGAGACTGTAAAATTGGGGTAATATGATCATATTTTCTTGACCTGGTAAGGACTCTAGCCGCTGCATTTTGGACTACCTGTAGCTTGTTTATTGAAGATGCAGGACAACCAGCTAGCAGTGCATTACAATAGTCCAGTCTAGAGGTCATGAATGCATGAACTAGCTTTTCTGCATCAGAAAAAGGTAACATGTTTCGTAGCTTGGCAATGTTTCTAAGATGGAAGAATGCTGTTTTTGTAACATGGGAAATATGATTTTCAAAAGACAAGTTGCTGTCTAATATAACACCCAGATTTTTGACTGTAGAGCAGGACTCCAGACTGCGACCATTTTTTCTGCCTGTGTGACTAAATTTTGTGTGCGGTCGCACTGGCGCGACCACCGCGTTGTTCAACTCCTAAGCGCTGCCATTTCTGTTGCATATGAGAAACATCAAACGGCAACTCATTTGAACTGCACAGCGCTTAGAGTGTAGAGCCTGTTTTTTTATGCTTGCCACGCTAGCAGGAGCACGAAGGTGCACGCAGCAAAAATTACGCGAATATTGAGGAAACAATGGATGGTTTTCACACTAAAGTAAAATGAAAGGCCGTTTCTTAAACCAGAGAAGGTGAACATGTTGGTATTCTTTTGGGGGGAAAAAAACATACAAGCACTGTCACCGGCAGCAAGTTAAGTTTTACTTTTCTTTTTGTTTTCATTTTGAAAAGCTTCTTTTTGCTGTTTACGTTATGCTATGGAGGCTCTCTTTTATTTATTTATTTTTTTTATTATTTGATTCCTCAGTGTTTGCTAAACATTCTGTAATTTATTAGTCAGTAGTATATAATACAGCATGTGGTGTATGCCATGCCTCATCTTTTTCGCTTATAACATAGCAAAAGAGGACCTCCCGTTCACAAAATTCAAATCACAAATAATACTACTGATGAAAAAGAACGGGTTGAATGTTAACCACTTTTGTTTCCATATAACTATAAACTATGATAAAAGTTTTTCAGCATGCATTGATTAATCCCATGTTGTAGCAAAAAAAAAAAAAACACGTGCTCGTGCGACCAACTGTGGAAGTTAGTCACAAAAGAGCGACCAGTGGGAAGATCGAGTCTGGAGCCCTGCTGTAGAGGAAGTAACAGTACATCCGTCTAGTTGCAAATTGTAATCCAAGAAATTGTAATCTTTATCGTTTCTTAGAGGAGGCTTGTAATTGTTTCTTTTTGTGTCCTCTGCAGCAACTAGAGAGTGTTTGGTGGATGGAGGACGGTGGGAACATACTCAGTTCCCATAGTGATGGGAGCTACTGCCAGTGGACGGTGACCGGAGGGGATCCGCAGACGGAGCCTGAGAAACAGGAGACACCGTATGGTGAGACCACATTACCGGAGTCACTTGTGTTTTCTGTTACAACAGGAAACATGTTCCAAAACCTATTCTGTGCCTGAAATTGTGTACATTTGCCTTACATACTATGTTTAATGAAGAACTCACTTCTCAACTGTCAATAAAATATGTTCTATAATAGAAGCATCACATGTGGGTGTACTACATTACTATATTTAAAAAAAAAGTTTTCTTAATGATTTCTTAATTGTTTAAAAGATTTCTTAATGTTTTTGAAAGTTGTTTAAATAAAAGTGTTTACTTTTTTCCAAAAGGATAAAATTTTTACTGATCTCAAACTTCTGACTGGTAGTGTATTTTCACCATATTGGATCTGTAATATGACCTACAATGGTTGCCATATCTCTGTCCGTTGCCATTTACAAATATGACGACTAGTGATGACGAATAGGGAAGTAGGGAAATTCAAACTCTGGTCCAAAGAGCTGCCTTGAAGTCTCCTGCCTACATAGTTAGCATCCTAACTGTTAAAAAGTGGAATAATGTTGTTGCCTACCATTTGGTGCCTAATATTATGCCTAAAATGCTTGCTTAATAGGCAGCTCACTAGGTTTTAAAATATATTCATATTGATCTGTCTGTCCTTACTTCCTTTAATGAACAATATCTTCACACAGGTTCTTTCCCCTGCAAGGCCATATCCAAAGTAATACAGCTGCCATCAAAACAAGGGTGAGTATATTCTTTATTAGACAGTACTGTGAGTGTTCACTCGCTGATGCTGAGACGGGTGTGTTTGCTTGTGGTGTCATTAACCCAGAGTGCTTCACCATGACTCACACTGTCTGTCTGGTTAATATTTAAACCTTTCATAGACGTTCATATGTTCCGCTCCACAGTAATGATTTTTTCCAAGAAATTGTAATCTTTATCGTTTCTTAGAGGAGGCTTGTAATTGTTTCTTTTTGTGTCCTCTGCAGCAACTAGAGAGTGTTTGGTGGATGGAGGACGGTGGGAACATACTCAGTTCCCATAGTGATGGGAGCTACTGCCAGTGGACGGTGACCGGAGGGGATCCGCAGACGGAGCCTGAGAAACAGGAGACACCGTATGGTGAGACCACATTACCGGAGTCACTTGTGTTTTCTGTTACAACAGGAAACATGTTCCAAAACCTATTCTGTGCCTGAAATTGTGTACATTTGCCTTACATACTATGTTTAATGAAGAACTCACTTCTCAACTGTCAATAAAATATGTTCTATAATAGAAGCATCACATGTGGGTGTACTACATTACTATATTAAAAAAAAAAGTTTTCTTAATGATTTCTTAATTGTTTAAAAGATTTCTTAATGTTTTTGAAAGTTGTTTAAATAAAAGTGTTTACTTTTTTCCAAAAGGATAAAATTTTTACTGATCTCAAACTTCTGACTGGTAGTGTATTTTCACCATATTGGATCTGTAATATGACCTACAATGGTTGCCATATCTCTGTCCGTTGCCATTTACAAATATGACGACTAGTGATGACGAATAGGGAAGTAGGGAAATTCAAACTCTGGTCCAAAGAGCTGCCTTGAAGTCTCCTGCCTACATAGTTAGCATCCTAACTGTTAAAAAGTGGAATAATGTTGTTGCCTACCATTTGGTGCCTAATATTATGCCTAAAATGCTTGCTTAATAGGCAGCTCACTAGGTTTTAAAATATATTCATATTGATCTGTCTGTCCTTACTTCCTTTAATGAACAATATCTTCACACAGGTTCTTTCCCCTGCAAGGCCATATCCAAAGTAATACAGCTGCCATCAAAACAAGGGTGAGTATATTCTTTATTAGACAGTACTGTGAGTGTTCACTCGCTGATGCTGAGACGGGTGTGTTTGCTTGTGGTGTCATTAACCCAGAGTGCTTCACCATGACTCACACTGTCTGTCTGGTTAATATTTAAACCTTTCATAGACGTTCATATGTTCCGCTCCACAGTAATGATTTTTCTTTTACTGATAATCTCTAGCCTATTTTATCATACTGTTCCTTTAATTTCCTGTTGCTTTATTGTTCTCTTTTTCTTCAAAATATTTGAAACGGCCGATTTGGAAAGTTCTGGAAGAGCCAAGGGGAATTTGTCATTTAGTAAACAATTCCTTATCCAAAGTAATGTGTCTTTTGTCCTTGTGTCCCCCAGTCCCCCATTCCTCATCTTCAGTGGAGGGATGCCGAGGGCCAGTTACGGGGACAGACACTGCATCTCAGTCATCCACAGCAAAACCCACGAGGCGCTGGACTTCACCTCACGCATTATCGACTTTTTCGTCATTTGCGAGGGAGAGAACCACAGAGGTAGAGAGAGATGCTCCCAAACACACGGTTTTGGTTCCTTTACATGTTTTTTTTCTACATCTACTTCACATCACATGCGCTACTATAGGTTCACTTCCTCTAAGTGGTCTAAATGTGTGTCTGTGTCACAGGTGAGCCGAGCGCTCTTGTGGTTTTGGTGGAGGAGGAGCTGGTCGTGGTGGATCTGCAGACTGAGGGTTGGCCCGTCATCCAGACGCCTTACCTGGTGCCATTACACTGTTCAGCCATCACCTGCTCGCACCACGTCTCCTCCATCCCGCTCAAACTGTGGGAGAGAGTGCAAGCTGTGGGAGCCCAGCAGAATACACACTACTCCAAGAAGGTATGAAACCATATGCACACATAAATGCAGAAACATTAAGCTCAGATCGCATGTAGCCCAATAAAACCATTTACCAGAAAGAGAGTGCTCACTTCAACTGCCAGTTGCTGGGTTAAATGTTAACTACTGTTGGCTTCAGAACACTTCAACAACTATGTCAAGTGTTGATTCTGTTTGGCAGCACCATAGACGTCTTTAATCACTGACCTTGATTCTATTGAGCCATTCAATTCTTGATTTTGTAAATCTGTCTTTTTGTAGCCTTGGCCTATAAATGGAGGCCAGAATCTTGCCCCAGACCCTCCCCAGAGAGACTTGCTCCTGACAGGGTGAGTAGACCTGTGTGAGCTAATGCTATCGATCTTGGTGTGATCTCGCAGTCTTGAATTCACTGTAAAGTTTCAGACTGTAAAATATGGGGAATTGTTCTGTTCATAATTATAAGCATGTGAAAATGAAGAACATACCCATGGGTTATAAATAGTTTGTTTTTTTTATTATATACAGGCAATAAGCTCACTTCTGTATGATATTTTATTTTGAATGATTTTATTAAATATTAATTAGAAAAAAACACTTGTGCTCACCAATGCTGCATTTTTAAAATCAAAAATACAGTAAAACAGTAATATTGTATTATTTTTATTATTAATTTAAAATAACTTTAAAAAAATTTAATTTATTTCTGTGATGGCGAAGCTAAATTTTCAGTTGCCTTTACTTCAGTCTTCAGTGTCACATAATCCTTGAGTAATCATTCTAATATGCTGATTTTCTGCTATAATTATTATCAATGTTGTAAACCGCTGTTCTGCCTAATATTTTTGTGGAAACTGTGATTTGTTTTTTCTTTTTTTCCAAAAATTAAAAAGGAGTAAAACAAAAATACATTTTCTAGTTGAGAAGTTGGTAAGCTTTTCTTTTAGACTGTTTGTGTCTGTTTTGAGTCACTCACATCACTTGCATCAGATAATAAAAACTGTAAAGTTCAGATTTTTGTTCTTATTTTGCCTGTTGGATCATGGATTATTTTAATTTCTAAAAATGGAGTATTAGTCCAGTAATTCTAGTTCATTTATTCAAAGCTAGTTGTTAGTAGCTTTGAAACAACCTTGGCAACCTGTTGGTACTTGGACCCTGTTTAAAATGTGTTTGCTCAATACAGCTGGGTTTTTCCCTTTTCATGAAAATCATGTGAATAACAAGGAAAAATGTTCTGTTAAGACGCTGTAATGGTTTTGCATGTAGGGAATGAGGAACTGATGGTTAAAATGGATCTTACCTTTCACTTTAAATATTTTATATCCATCTTTCTTTTGAAAGGCATGAAGATGGCACTGTGCGTTTCTGGGATGCCTCAGGGGTCTGTCTTTACCCCATGTACAAGCTCAGCACAGCGGGAGCCTTCCTCACAGACGCCGACCCAAATGACAACATGAACCAGGGCAGTGAGGGAGAGTGGCCTCCATTCCGCAAGGTCTGGTTTGACTGACACTTACTTGTACAAGTATTGACACTTACTTGTACAAGTATTATCACTCACACTTCTAGTTAACACAGTTGTTTACTGATTTCATCAGACATTTGATTCTGTGTATTTATTGTTTTTAAAAATATCAGGTGGGCTGCTTTGACCCATATAGCGACGACCCTCGGCTTGGCATTCAGAAGATCCACCTGTGTAAATACAGCGGATATCTCACAGTGGCTGGAACTGCAGGACAAGTGCGTTTTAATGTGGGAGTTTAAAGGAAGACATACATCATTAAAGACCGCAATATTAAAATGTTACCTTTTGTTCAGTTGTTACATAAACTACTACATATGCAACAAGGCTGCATTTATCTGAGTAAGATACAATAAAAACAGTAATAATGTGAAATTCTTACACTTTAAATATATTTTAACATTTTTTATTTTAAAACATTTTCATTTTTAACATAATTTATTCCTGTTACAGCAAAGCAGAATTTTCAGCATCATAACTCCAGTCTTCAGTTTAAAATGATCCTTCAAAAATCATTGTAATATGCCTATTTGGTGCTCAAGAAGCATTTAAACAATGTTAAAAACAGTTTTGTTGCAAAATATTTTTGTGGAAACCGTAATTCCACCAAGATTAAGTTTTAGAAGATTCACATTTATTTAAAATCGAAATCTTTCATAACATTACAAATGCCATTTTAGTCCATTTTGATCAATTGAAAGCATCCTTGCTGAATAAATGTATACATTTTTTGTGAAACATTGATTGTCATTTATGGAGCTGTATGTCTATGAATTTATTCTCACTTGCTTGTGCTGAAGATCTGATCTCTTTTCCAGTACACCCAGTTCTCAGAATTTTTAGTGGCTGTTGATAATTAATCATTAGAGAGAACTTGACTAAAGCACTCTTGAGTTAATTGATTATTAACAGTCCACTTCACATTATGTCTGCCATTTGGAAATGAGCTTGGTGAAAAGCCACTCTTCAGGATCAGTTGCTCTCCTGTTGTCCTTTGATTGAACTACTGAAATGTGAATGTTGCTGTAAGGACATGAATGTAGGGATGCACCGATCCGATACTCCAATACTTTCTATCGGGTATCGGTCAGATAAGACCGATCCAAATCCGATATTGTGCGTATAGTATTCTGCTTTATTGTTAAGCCCCACGAAATGCACAAAAACATTGTAAAGCACCATGAAGTTTTCGTTCACTATATTCCAAGTCTTCTGAAGCAGTTACATAGTTTAATGTGAGGTAGAGATGAATATTTAAGTCAAGTTCATGTAAACTCTTCTCTCCGCTGCGGCTGTCTGTCATCCTCCATTCAGCATTCAAATTGCGTGCCGCGTTCGGTTACGGCAGTCAAGACGATTAAACTCTCTCCATGAGCGCAGTAACTGAAATTTACTGAAATTTAAAACTGTTAAAAGAAAAGGCTCAAACTGTCGCACAGATTTAATACACTACCCATCAATATCTCTTCACTTCGAGCTTTGAACTTTTCTATGCTGCGCGCTGTGACTCCGTGTTGCTTCAAGCACATCATTCTGCGCACGGGATGCACATAAGCGCTTTGTGCCGCTCTGTATTGAGCCTTTCGTATTAATACTTTTGTACAATGAAAGATTATTAATAGCCTTTCTTGTTCTGTCCTATCTATCATATGTTGCTGCCTCCATTGCTGTGCTATACATTTAAAAGAAATGTCTTTTAATTTTATAATTTATATTTATATGTAAATATATTTACTTATTTTTCATGATTTCATGATATTTTACAACAATACAAAGAGCAATGTGTAACATTTTACAAGATTCAGTCCTACACTTATTCACTTTTATTTGTTCCCCACTAAATAATGTTATTTCACTAAATGTTTATATTTAATAAAATTGTGCACTCATGATTTTTATAGAATAACTTTTGCTGCTGAATTATCCACTAACCTAGTTTATAAGTATTTTTGTTATAGATTATGATTATATATTTTTTCATGTATTTTTCTTTAAAATAAAGTTGTCTATATTTAGTAGATTGTGTTTAACACACAAAACAGTGATGATCAGGTCAACACACTGAGGTATCGACATTCTACATAGATTATAAAAAAAACAGTGCTGGTATCGGATCGATATCGGCCGATACTCAGAATCTTTGGTACCGGATCGGAAAAAAAATGGTATCGGTGCATCCCTAGTATACTCTGAATGTAGCTGTAATGACAAAAAAAAAAAAGCGTATGCTCCATTTTACAGGTCTGGTGAGAGAATATGTTAGTACAGAAGTGAGATATTGCTGTTTAATTTTCATCTGCTTCTGTCAAAATGTATGAAATAAAAATAATTTCTCTCTTTGTCTTCCTCCCACTCAGATTCTGGTTTTGGAGCTGAATGATGAGGCTGCCGAGCAGACGGTCGAGGCTACAGTGGTGGACCTGCTGCAGGGTCAGGAGGGATTTCGCTGGAAGGGCCAGGCGCGTCTAGACGTGCGGGAGGAGCCGGTGCTGTTCCCTCCAGGCTTCCAGCCCTTCGCTCTAGTGCAGTGCCAGCCGCCCGCTGTGGTCACAGCAATCGCTCTGCATTCAGAGTGGAAACTGGTGGCCTTCGGTACCAGCCATGGCTTTGGTCTCTATGACTACCACCAGAGGAATAAAATCATGGTCAAGTGAGAAGAATAACATTTTAAATAGTATTCCAGGTTTATTAGTTCAAAAGATCGATTTGTAACTATTAAAACAAGCAGACTTTCAGGGTATCACAAATGAACATTGGGGAATAACCTGAAAGATAACTTGAATCTTATGTTGTTTTATTTGGTTCAGACTGATGATGAGTGACAATACATGTGCTGATGTGTTCATCACAATAGTCTAATTAAAGAAATGTTCCCTTCAAAAAGGGAAGTCTTTATTATAGCTACAGTGTTAGTCACCATGGTGTACTTTTATCATTATAAAAGTGGAAAAACAATGAAAAAAAAAAATATATATATATATATATGTGGATAAAAAGTGGAAAAACAGCACCTAGTCTGATTCACTTATCATATGATAAACTGGCTTTTCATTCAAATAATTTAAATTAAACATGTTAAATATTAAACCATATTGTTTTATTTATATTTTTACGTGATATAATTCAAATGTAATGTTTTCCACATTTAAAATAATAGGAAAGTAGTAGAAACTATAAAATGTTTTTTATTTACCAAAAATGTAGACCGAATTGCACTACCGTTCAAAAGTTTGGGTTCAGTAATGTTTTTCAAAGAAATCTCTTCTGCCCACCAATGCTACATTTATGTGATCAAAACAGTAATATTTTTAAATATTATAACAATTTAAAATAACAGTTTTCTCTTTTAATATATGTATAATATTTCTTCTTATTATCAGTGAAAACTGCTTAATATTTTTGTGAATGCTAAAAAATGTAAAAAATTTCCCCAGGTTTGATGAACAGAAAGTTCAAAAGAACAACATTTCTTTGAAATTGAAGTCTTTTGTAACATTATTGTCTTTAATGTCACTTTTGATCATTTTAATGCATTCTTGCTAAATAAAAGTATGAATTTCTAAAAAATAAAACGTACTTGCATGTATTTTAGAGTCTTGAAATTGCGACCTTTTGACTTGATATCCATCAATTTAAAAGAAAATGTAAATTTTACTTACATTTTTAGTTTAATGTTGTAGCCACAATTCAAAATTGTCCATATTAAAATTATTTTAAGCCTTTTATTTCTGAGCCCAAGCTTTATATTTAAATTGTTAGAATCAAGGCTGTTAAGATTGTTTACGATTATTACAAAGATAAATTCGATTAGTTGTGTTTTTTTCCTGCAGACTTTGAGCATGCTAATAGTTGTTTGCTGTCCATTTGCAGGTGCACCCTAAACCCCAGTGACCAGATGGCCTTGGAGGGGCCACTCTCACGCGTCAAGTCCATCAAGAAGTCCTTGCGACAGTCCTTCCGCAGGATTCGCCGCAGCCGGGTTTCCATGCGAAAACACCACACTAACAACGCAGCTAAGGTACATATCATCTCTCTTTTTCGCTAATGCTCCAGTTATTCACCCGACAAATTAACTAAACATGACACTAGACATCATGCATGCCGTTATTTCAGCTGCGGTTAGCATTGCATAATTCAGAGTTGTTAAATGGGTGGTGACGGCTTGATAGTGAATATCTGTGCAATGTTTCTGCAGCTGCAAGAGATCAACGCCAGGCTGGAGGCCGAAGCTCTGCAGGAGATGGAGCTGGCACCTGTACAGAGAAAGATTGAAGCCCGTTCCTCTGACGACTCCTTCACGGGCCTCGTCAGAACACTCTACTTTGCAGATACATTCGTTAGTGATAGTGAGTACCACAATGTTTCTAATCGTTAAATATTAAATATAGGGTTATGTTCCTTCCCATTATTCCCGCTGTATCCTCTCAGATGGCATGTGTGTGACTAGCAGAAGACCTCCATGATCTCTCTCTCTTTCTCAGGTTCTCACAGTACGCCCTCACTGTGGGCAGGAACCAATGGTGGAGCTGTTTTTGCGCATGTCCTCCGTGTCCCCTCATTGGAACGAAGGGCGGAGGATCCAGTTGTGGCTCATGCAGGTAAAAGGAAAATTATAATATATAAACAACATTTAATAAAAGCATTTCAGCTCCAAAGCAGATGGACCGAGACAAAGATTTTAATAAATCACTTAATAAATGTATTTATTGAACATTGGTTTCTTTATGAATAACATTGTTGCTTGTGTTTGTAAGAGCAATAAACCACATTACGACTTTGTGTTAGAGGAGTTTTACCACATTTAAGGGGGTTTTGACCATTCTGTTTCACCTAACAATATGGTAAAATTGCAGTAAAGTGTGAATTCTTGCATATTGTTGTTTTTTTTATATACCCACAAATATTAACTATTGTTAAAAAGTTTAGGGTCAATATTTTTTAAAGAAATTTTACCTTTTTATTTTTATTTTAAATGTCATGTTCCTTTGAACTCTCTATTAATCAAAGTTTCAGTTTCCACAAAATATTAATCAGCACAATCATCATATTGGAATGTTTCTGATGGTTTATTTGACACTAAAGACTGTAAATTCAGCTTTGCCATCACAGGAAAAAATTACATTTTAAAATATATTAAAATAGAAAAACAGTTTTTTTTTGTTTAGTTTTTTTCAAATTGTAACAAATATTTCTCAGTATTACTGTTTTCCTGTGTTTTTGGTCAAATAAATTTAGCTTTGGTGAGCATAAAAATCTTTAAATGATTACAAAAAAGCTTACTGAATATATGGTTTGCATATAGTTTTTTTTAATACCCACAAATATACACTGCATATTGCATATTGTTTTTTGCATGTTTTTTAAAATACCCACAAATATACACTACTGTTAAAAAGTTTAGGGTCAATATAACATTTTTAAAGAAATTAATACTTTTTATTATTAATACCTTTTTCTTTTTATTTTAAATAAATCCTATTCCTTTGAACGCTCTATTGATCCAAGAATCCACAAAATATTAATCATCACAATCAGCATATTAGAATGTTTCTTGATGGATCATGTGACACTAAAGACTGTACATTCAGCTGAAAATTCAGCTTTGCCATCACAGGAATAAATTACATTTAAAATATATATTGAAATAGAAAAACAGCTATTTTTCAAATTGTAAAAAAAAATTCTCAATATTACTGTTTTCCTGTGTTTTTTGTCAAATAAATGTAGCATTGGTGAGCATAAAAATCTTTAAAAAAAAATTAAAAAATCTTACTGAACCCAAACTTTTGAATGGTCGTGTAATTTGTTCTGCATTTTGGTCAGTACATAATGTATCATATTTTTAGTGACTTTTCTATTATTATAAGTGGAAAATATAAAAAATTAATTGAGTATACTTTTATTGACCAAAATTTTGAACTGTAGTGTACACAAAACCCATAATATAAAAAGTCGAATGTTTACATAAACAGATCTTGTATAAAAAGTGCTTCTCCATCACCAGCTAAAGAGATTCAGTTGATGCATCGTGCTCCAGTCGTTGGTTTGGTGGTCTTGGATGGCAAGGGTGCCCCTCTGCCCGAGCCTCTGGAGGTGGCCCATGATTTGGCGCGCAGTCCTGAAATGCACGGTTCTCATCACCTATTGGTTGTGTCAGAGGAGCAATTAAAGGTGAGAATTTACACCACACACAACTTGTTCTTCCTCCATTGCCAACATAGATTGTGTGTCTTACCATATTTGTGTGTACACAGCTGTTTACGCTGCCTAAAGTGAGCAGTAAGTCAAAGCTGAAGCTGACAGCGGTCGACGGCTCTCGTGTTCGCCGTGTGGGTGTCGCTTGGTTTGGCTCTCGGACCGATGAACAGTTGGAGAGCAGCCTGGTGGTGTTGACCAATCAGGGTGAGCTACACGTCATCTCTTTGCCTTCCATCAAAATGATGGTCCACTATCCTTGCATACGAAGAGAAGACGTCAGTGGAATCGCATCCTGTGTGTTCACCAAATATGGCCAAGGTAGGAAACGCTCACTTTTACACAGTGCATTTACATAAAGGGGTCATATGATGCGATTTCAAGTTTTCCTTTCTCTTTCCTGGGAGAGTAGCCACCGATGTTCCGGTGAATTCAGTTCCCCTGTTTCCCCTTCGGCGCGCATACTGACCCTATACAGTCTATGATGCTGACAATAAATGCTGACTCACAGCCTGTAAGTACGTTTTCATATTTAAAGGATTTGCCACTGATGCTCATAAACACATTTCATTACACCAAATACACAAAATAAAGTTATTTTTAGCAACATCATATGACCCCTTTAAGGAAAAGCATGAATCTCCTCTGAAACTCTTTGTCTGGTCATCTTTTAGGATTTTATCTGATGTCCCCTTCTGAGTTTGAGCGGTTTTCTCTCTCCACCCGCTGGGCGGTGGAGCCTCGTTGTCTGGTTGAGGCTCCCCTCCAGATGAGGCCCAAGAACCCATCAAGTCCCGTCCACAGGGACCAGCCGGATGGAGTACCTACTGAACACAGGTGTGTGTGTAGTTGTGTAATAGTTCAGAATCCGTTATTCCTTTCCTGTTGTTAAGGATTGACAAACGTGTTTTTATATTGATGTTTGTTTGTTTTCTGTTTTTCTAGAAATTTCAAAAGGGAGAGTGAAGGATATGGTGAGATTCAGTGTGCTTTTTCCAAATCTGTGTGAATTGTGCAAACTAAGCATCCAATACTAAAAAAAACGCATGTTCTTAGTGCTTTGTTGAATGCTTCCCCATGTTATTCTCAGAAGTCACTCATGCAAAAGACTTAAGTCTGTACTTATGGACACAATCCGTAATTGATGAACCAATGCCACAATAATACTTGGAATTTTGTTAAAAACAAAAGTTATACATATTAAGTCATATTATTAGCCCCAAAAACATACTGGTATTATACATTATAATTAGTGCTGTCAAACGATTAATCGCATCCAAAATAAAACTTTGTTTACATGATATGTGGGTGGGTGGGTGTATGTGTGTGTGTGTGTGTGAGAACTTGTGTGTATATTTATTATGTATATATAAATACACACACATGCATGTATATATTTAAGAAGAGGTTCGGGTTTGCATATTGTGCATTATAAAATAAAATAAAATAAAAATGTGCTCTGGGTTCACTTTTTTAATATTTAAATAATTCCAAATTTCTTTGGTTGGAGCAGGTCATTATCACATGCAAAGAAAAAATATTATTATTAGTACTGTCTTTATTTATTGTTTATTATTGTAACTGTCTCTAAGAAAAACTCAAAGGAATGTTCTAATCTCCCCTGTCTTTAAAAAATAATATTTTTGTCAATAAAATAACAATAATACTTTGCATAAGATAATAATATAATAATAATTTAATATAAGATTTGGATTACATAATTGATAGATAAAAGATTGGGTTACATAACCTACAGTGTGAATGTAAAATGGTCTGAAAAAATATTTTTAAAGACCGAGTAGATGAGAATGTTTATCAAGATATCTCTAGAATTTCTCTTAGAGACAGCAATAATAATAATAATAATAATAGTTAATAAATGTAACTCATCTTGGAAAATGATTTTGGTCTCAGTTCAGTCTATTTATTTGTTTGTTTGTTTACGTATGTAATATTCAGGAAAGCTGGGTTACATTAGTGTGAATGTAAATGGGATGATACTGAAAAGAGAATTTGATAGCTAAGAAAAATGATATTTAAAATATTATTGTTGATGTTTACAGTCTTGTTAATGGTATTCTACCATGTGCATAAATGTATGAGAAAATAATTTTCTATTTGTTTAAGTGAATAAATTACTTTGTGCACTACACTTGTAATTGACACATGACATGTCATAATTATTTCCAATACTTAATTGAAATTGTCAGCCAAAATGTTACAAGTTATATGTTCATTTAGCCTCTTTGCTTGCTGCTGTGTCCACAGATTGAGCCTTTAATTCCCAGTGCCTGAACGATTCTGGATGCGCTCTTCATTCCAGACTTGCTTACGATCTGAACACTACTGCTAGAACCACTACTGAACCATGAGAAAGCCTTGCCCCGGAGAGCGAAACCTCCCACTCAAGAGCTTGTACACCCAGAGAGAGGAGAGCGAGGGACCACCACCTGTGCCTGCTAAGACCAAACACTGTATCTCCACTAAATCCATTACATGCTGACCAACCGCCATTCACACTGTCTGCGTCTGCGTCTGCATCTGCGTCTGCGTCTGCGTCTGCGCAGTTCACTGCAGCAACCCGAGCAAATGCAGTGGTGTTTGGTTTGAAAGACTGGCAATTAAGACAGTTTTGTTTTTAACTTAATTTTAAATGCATGATTTTTCTTTTCTACCAGATTGAGGACCTAAGAATTTGCATAGATGGTGTATTATAGCTGGATAAAGACGCCATTAAGCTGTTGCTGACGAATTAGGGTTGGACGACAAGGTGACGTTAGCACCAGATGCTAATAAACCACATCCACATTTAAAACCCTACTGAGTATTCCACAACAAGTAGTGTTGCCTTTCCCCGTCCACACCAATGAGAACAGTGGCTAGATAAAAGTTCTTATAGGTACTTGTACACTACTGTGTAGTTCATATGCTGTAGTTTCTAGGGTGTACAGCTTTCTGAGGGGCTAGGTCTTTATTTTCTGTTTTTTTTATGTAAAACATTTTATTGACAGCACTAATTATAATACAGCCTTCAAGTGAACTCGTAATTTTGAGTTTTGCGCTTGTGATTAGACAAACTGCAACTGACCAATAACAATCAAGTATTCTAAAGTTAGAAGTTGATTAGGTGTACTGGAAGGCAGTGTTTCATTATATTATATTAATATTAATTTATATATTAATTTTGTGGCCAATTGTTGTTATTGTTAACTAAAACTATCAAAAACGTGTTTTGTTAATTGAAATAATTTATAAATGTAAAATTTTAAACGAAAATAAACTAAATAGGAACACTTTTTTTTAAATGACGAAACAAAAAATGACCAAAAAATAATTTCAATTGAAAATAAAATTAAAGCACGAAGTATTAAAATAAAAGCGAATTCAAAATATGAATGAATACTATTATAGTACATAAACTAAATACTAAAATTAATTTAAAAGCTAAGAAAAATTAAACAAATCACTTAATTACTTAAACTAAAATTAAAAACCTTAATTCAAAATATTAATAAATACTATTATAGTCTATAAATAATACTAAGATAATACTGTTGTGGCTTGCCAGTTGCATCAATTATGAATTGTATTCATAACTCCTCCTCAGAGTGTTTGCAAGCTTTCGCCTGACTGATCAATGTGCTTGTGTGTTCCAGAGAGTTCTGCTAGACAGGTAATGGAGCATGCTTTGCTCAACGATGAGAGTGAGTACATGAAGATCAGCAGTTAGACAGCATATTACGGAGTAGTTTAGAAGTAAAGTAAGAGCAGTAGAGCAGTATCAGATTGTTTGTATCTCTGCTTGCTGTGGATGTGTGACATGCAAATGGCTTAAAACAATAATCTAAAGATGCTGTATGTTTTCAGTAATCTGTGCAGTCATGTGTGCATGATCTGTAACACTCCCATTTGCCTGCACAATAATATTGTTGTATTAAGATCTGTGAAAAAGTCTTGATTTGTTGTTTATAAACAGAAGAACTAGATTTTGGGTATTTGAGCAGGTCCACTGAGGGCGCTGTTTGCTGGACTAGTTTTTATAGTGTCTAAATATAATTTGCGGGAAAGTCTTTGTGTATTTGTTTGATTCACATCTTGCTTTAACACAGGAGTGCTTCAGGAGATCCAGAAGTCTCTAGAAGGAGATCAAACGTAAGAAGGTTTAATTTAATGTAGATCCTGTTACTTTATTAATATGCATTAATACCCGTACGGTTTGAATAATCGGCCAATTGTTTGTTTAAAGGACGTTCCTAGAGAACAATCTGAAGACAAAGCCAAAAGCAGGCAATGTGCTAAGCAATGGAGGTAATTATTTATTTTGTGTTCCTGATTAGCATAAATTGGTATTCTGCATTTTAATAATAATATTGTAACCAGCAAGTATTTGAGAGAGCAGTGCTAAAACTGCCTTCTTTGAAACTCGATGATCAGTGTTTGAAATGCAGATCTTCCTGTATGTCTTCCGGCACAGTAATGTGTTATGTAAGCACTCCAAATGTTTGGAGCTGCTCTGAGTGCTGATCACTTAAAGGGGTCCTATTATGCTCTTTTACAAAGTCTTGATTTTGTTTTGGGGGTGTACTAGAACAGGCTCTCATTTAGGAATGTAATTTTAAAATATTGTAGTCGAATGTTTTAATATATGTGTATATGAAAATCCGTACCTGTTTTGAACGCTGGGTTCCTTTTACGGAGGGCTGTATTTTCTGATCTAAGGAAATATTTTGGTACTGTCTCCTGAAATGCTTTTAGCGTTTTCTTTGGGGGGGTCTAGAATATATTTTTGTAGAATTATACATGATTATGTATGAGAACACTAATTATTATGCTTTGTAACTCCACACTACAGTCTTCTCAGTAAAACTTTTACACACAAACCGTCCTTTTCTTCATTTTTGAGTATTGATATGGAAAGACTGATATGATGTAGGTTGGGCAAAAGTGTAAAAAGTATTGTGAATACAAAAAAAAAATATTGATGGGGGGGAGGGGGGTCTACATTGATAACACCTAGAATTCTGTGCTTGTCACTTGACTCATTAAGTGGGGATAGGAAATTTGATTAACTCAATATTTGTAGCTCGGGAGACTTTGAAGGTTTTTAATCAAACAGTAATACATTAACTTTATTTATAGAGCATCTTCATACAAATAGTAACTTGAAATGCTTTAGAAACAAGTGAAAAGAGTAAAACCCTTAACTGTGGTTAAGTTTCATAATAGAAACAATAAGATTTTTTTTTTAGTTTTAAGACTAAATTAAAAAAGTGAGTGTTTACAATAATTTAGAAGTGTAATGGCTATGTTGTGTCTATATATATTTTTTTATGTGATTCTTGTAATTAGTATTGGTATGAATGAAATGAGAATGTAATGTGCAGCAATATGCATTACAATAATTGCCCAGTTATGCTGTCTTTGTTTTATGTTTGTGATTGCATAAGTTTGAAATGGGCCTAAAATTGCTTAGCATGGCGTATTGGGCAATTATTGTAAATAATAAACAAGATATACATTTGAACTGTATATATTTTAAAAAAAGTTAAATTATATCATAGTAGTGATTAAGTTATTTTATGTTCACGTACATTCAATACTAAATTTGTTCAGTTCGTAATTGAATTAATATTTTTTCAAGAAAGACGGAGCGAAAGAATTATGACTATATACATGACTGTCTTTTTTTTTTCTAAGTGAACCATAACTGTATGTCTGTCTAGTCAATTTATGGCTACTTATAAGAGGTTTGGAGCCTTTGAAAATATTTGAAAAGAAATCTCCCTTTGGTCAGATCAATTGTCATACAGACTCAGCCAAGAGTTTTGATCATCTATTATTGAGAGATGCTTTGGTCCCTAATCGCAGTAGCTCAAATGTTTGCCTGCATGATATTGGACACCATCTCTTAAAGAATTCTGGAGAATAGCCGTTTACACCATTGTGTCACACAGCACAAGCAAGAGAATAAATAAATGCAAATAAATAGAATTCTTGTAATAGCATGGTCTAGCTTCTAAATGTAAGATTCAAATGATTAAAAACAACTGTCAGATAATAATACTTGTCTATATAATTCTCTACAATTGGCAATATTAACAACAAATTGGTTTAAGGACAGGGCAAAAAAAAAGAAGAAAAGGTTATCAGATTTATTTTTTGTGCGGACTGTATTTTACTTTTTATAAAAAAAAAAAAAAACATTTGAAAAAAAAAAATTAGCAATTTTAAGATTCCCATTCATCTCCTTATGGCAGTCATCTGTGTGTGTGTTGCGATGCACGTTGGCGTTTCCCACATGTCCTCTCAAGTTCTTACCCCAAACCGAGGAACCGCCAGAGGAAGAGATAGAGACCTCTAGGCAAATAGCCAAAGCAAGAAAGCAAAATGGCAAAGTCTTACCTGCTAAGGGGACTAACTTACCAGCTGTCAAATGAAAACCTGACCAGAAAAACAATCCAGCCAAAACTCCTGCAAAAGTTGCGAGAAGGAGAGGTGCTACAGTAGTAGACACCGAAGAGGACGAATCGGAGAGCGAGAAAGCAGAGAGCTCAGAACAAGAGAGTGATGAAGAAGGAAAGGATGACAAAGAGGGGTCAGATTGCGTGGAGAACACCGCTGAGACAGACGCAAGTGTATTAATTGGTGAAGAAGAACTGTCAGATGTAGGCAAAGAAACAGAAGGGGAGGAAGAAGACGATGTAGGGGAAAAAACAGGAGAGGAGAAGAAAAGTGAGAGAAAGGACGATCCTGATGTGCCTGCTGAAAGCAGGATCAAAGAAGAACCCGAGAAGGAACCTGTTAGCAGTGCAGAAGAAGACGACTCTGAGGAGGTACTGAGTGATACGGGGCAAGGAGAGACAGCCCGTTCGTCAACGAAACCAGGACCGCTAAACCTGACAGTTCAACTCCAGGGGCAGAAAAAGATGTTCAAATCTAAGATACTACAAAAGAAGGTGCCTTCTAGAGGAGAGGAGCCTAAAGACGATTCTGTGCCCTCAAAAGGAGTTCATATTAAAGGAATGGCTCTCTCCAAAGGTGGTGCTGCTAAAGGTAAGTCTCAAATTCTACAGTTGGCAAGTAAAACAAAGACAATGAGCAAGACACAGGAAGATCAGGCTGCACCCCCAACAAAAGGTCCCAAAGGTCTTCTGAACAGACAGTCTCGTATGCTGTTTTCAATGAAAGGTAAAGGAAAGAATGATAAAAGCAAGAACGCCAAAGAGCAACCTCCAAAAGACAGCGAAGATGCTGTTGAAGAGCCAAATCAAGATTCATGTGAGAAAATAGTGGTGGACACAGTTAAACATGAGCCTGAAGAAGAGATGCCCTCAAAGTCAACAGAGCGTTTATTGGCCCGGAAAAGAGGCATGACGACATTGCGACGCGTCTCAGGATGGATTCAAAAGAAAATGCCAAAGGGCTTCCACGTTCGAAGAAAATTATCAGCAGTCACCCAAGCGATTGGGATCTCAAAATGGCTCCCTGCTTTGGTAGTCAAGAAGAGGAATAGCAGCACCAAGTCCAAGAAGAGTCTTATCCGACACAAGATGGTTATGAAAATGGCAAGTGGTGGAAAATCAAAGGAAGTATCAGCCTCAAATGATTCCAAGACAGATGAGGATATTACAGCTGATCCCCAGGGTGACTCCTCTGATGAACCTTGCTCCTCTCCACAAGACGTAGAGGAAAAGGCCAACTCAGGAGATGCTAAATATGCAATTGTGTTCCCAAGGATGAACAAAATTGGCAAGGCTAATGAAGCCACCGTTCCATCTACTAGCACCAGCACAGGTAATGCAGGCACAACAGAGCGTAAACCACCAAAGCCTGGTGCTCGTCTGGTTCTTCCAGCCAAACCAGACCTTAGCTTACTAAAGTCCATTAAGAAAAATACTCAGGAGAGTAAAAGTGATAAGAATGGCAGCCCAAACTCTCAAGTGATTGAGGGGCAGCCTGAGGTTAAAGCGGACAAAAAAGAGACAAAATCAGGAATCAAAGAAGGTACAAGTATACTACAAGCCGCCAAGGGAAAACTTGGGGGATCGCAAGTAAACATCACCAAGTTGTCTATATCTAAACCTTTGCTTAATGGTATAAATATGGGACAGAGCAAAGAAGTGGAGAGGAATCTAAGGAATTCAGATGTTTCAGCAGAACCTGAGACATGGAGGAACGGAGTGATGCAACCTTCTTATGAGGAGGATGCAGACCGAGAGGTGGCGGAGCTGATGGGTGAGGGTCTTTTGCCCTCCGCTATGGAGCTACACTGGGCTCAGACTCAGCAAATGTGTGGTGATCCCCAAGACTGGCTACGTTCAGAAAAACTCCTGCCCCATCAAACGGTGGAGAAGCTTACTAAATGGACAGTGTATCAACATGCCCACATCATTCCAGTCCATAATGGCAGAGGCCCATGGGAATCTGAAGATCCAACCCAAAATATGCTAGAGGAGAGACTTAACAGCACGCAGGTATGACATATGCAGAATAATTTGCTGTTGAACTCTTTTGCAATTATGCAAGTAACCTTATTGACATCTACAATGCTTATTGTTTGATTCGAAACAGGAAGCTGGGAAATAGTGTAGGTGTTATCCACATGTCTGCCCACTGGGGGCTCTCAGTGACAGCTCTGCTCTGCTTCCTTTACTTTGTGTCTCAGGTAATAATGCCAGGAAGCAGCCAAGCTGTGGAGGTGGATGAGGTGGAAGATTTGGCACAGCTGGAGTGAGTCATCGCAGCAATCACCTGATGTACACTTCCTTGTGTAGACTGTCAAAAGCCACACTAAAAAGTGAATTATATGAACAAAACATTAACTGGCACATCAGATGGCATGCTGAGTTTGTCTGAATTGTTTTGAAACAAAATATGCATCTTATTTCAGAGAGGTGTGTGAGAGTTCTGTTCTGCTGAATTTGAAGAAGCGGTTTCATCGGGATTCAGTTTATGTATGCATTACCTTTTCCAGACAATCAAATGTGATCATCGTGTTCTGCTGAATTTGAAGAAGCGGTTTCATCGGGATTCGGTTTATGTATGCATTACCTTTTCCAGACAATCAAATGTGATCATCTCTCTCACATTCAGTTGTCTTTTTAACTTTATTAAAACGGTTTATTAAAACCAACAGACATATATTGGTGATATGCTCCTGTCCATCAACCCCTTCAAGCCTCTCAGCATCTACACTGAGGATCTGAGACAGCAGTACCAGGGTAAAGAGAAGCACAATAATCCACCGTGAGTACTTTCACTTATGAGAATTTAAGCAGTGTTTGGCAGTAGGCAATTTTTTTTTTAAATTTGAGAAGTGTTTAACTGTCATGTTGAAAGATTGATTTTCATTGTCCCTGTAGTCATATATATGCCACAGCAGATGCTGCCTTTTGCCAATCTCAGAATACCACCCAAGAGCACTGCATCATCATAAGGTGAGGAGGATTATGGGCATGTTTCATATGCATATACACTATACGTATGCGTTACACATATACGTTTGCATATACA